GAGTGTCTCATTGTCAGCCACTCTGTTGCATTCTTACTCGTGCATTGTCTCTTCCCTTGCATGTGCTCTCTCTCTCAGACCCCCTGAAGGCCAGAGACAAGGGAGGCCGTGCAGGGCACAGTGTAAGGGAGGCAGTACACTTGCTAAATGATGATCTGAAGTAGGCTCCAGAGCTGACCCAGAAGGGCTTGCCTCTGCTCCAGCAGGGCTGCCCCAGTGGGAGGCTGGCTGTGCTTGCCCAACTCCCCCAGGTCACCTGAGTGCCACTGCTGCTTGGCCTGGTGGCACAGACTGAAGCAGGAGGACCATTGCGAGTGTTTGTTTCTCAACATTCCTTCCACTGATTTCATTTTTTTGCACCAATATGCAAACGTTTTTGTTTTAATGTATAGTTTTTTGGAGACAGGCATAGTTTTGGTGGAGAGCATTCCAGGCAGCATCCGCAAAATATAGCACATTTCCCTTCTGTGGGGAGAGGGACTTGTTCCCTTGACCCCTTGCCATGCTTCCACCCCAAGGGGGCCGAGGGCACGTACAGCCTGGGGTGGAACTGCAACACCCTGAGCACGTCCTGCTCCCTTTGTGGGCCTCAGGTGGCAGTCGCCATGACTAGAGCAGCCTCACTGCCCAAGCTGAAGAAATCAGGGAGAAAAGAGATGGACATATCTTTAAGGAAAGTGGAAAGCAGATTTGCTGTAGTCCCTTGAATATGGCAGAAGAGGAAACAGGATTGAAAAGGCATAAAGAGACATTGAAATCAGGTACCAGCAGCAATAGAATCTCAACAATAATAATAACCGCTACATTTATTTCATTTTATTTATTTTGAGACAGAGTCTTGCTCTGTCCCTTGGGCTAGAGTGCTGTGGCGTCAGCCTAGCTCACAGCAACCTCAGACTCCTGGGCTCAATCGATCCTCCTGCCTCAGCCTCCCGAGTAGCTGGGACTACAGGTGTGGGCCACCACGCCTGGCTAATTATTTCTATTTTCAGTTGTCTGGCTAATTTCTTTCTATTTTTTAGTAAAGACGGGGTCTCGCTCTTGCTGAGGCTGGTCTGGAACTCCTGACCTGAAGTGATCCTCCCGCCTCTGGCCTCCCAGAGTGCTAGGGTTACAGGTGTGAGCCACCAAGCCCGGCCCAGAACAGTTTTTTATTTATTTATTTATTTATTTTCAGTCTCCACAGAGACTGTCAAAAATTGCCAATGCCGACTACATTTCAAGTCGTCATGGCAGGATATTGGGAAAAGTTTCAATTAGCAATAATCGTGCCTCGGATAAACCTCATTGGCTACGATACTGCCACTGCGCAAAGCCGGAACAGTTACAGATTTACAGAAAAATTGAGGAGATAGTACAGTTTCTATATACTCTCTCACCCAATTTTCCCTACTATTAACATTTTACGTTAGTATGGCACATTTGTTACAACTCATGAAGCAGTATTGATGACATTATTAGGAACTAAAGTTTAGGGTTTATTCAGATCTTAGGTTTTATCTATTGTCTTTTTTGCTGTTCCAGAATACCATGTTACATTTAGTCATCATGTCACCTTAGGCTCCTCTTGGCTGTGGCAATTTCTCAGAGTTTCCTAGTTTTTGATGACCTCGACAGTTTTGAGGAGCACCGGTCAGGTGTTTCGTAGGACGCCCTTCTATTGGAATTTCTCTGATGTTTTCTTTCACGATTAGATTGGGGTCACAGTTTTTGGGAGGAGGACCACGAAGGTAAAGTGTCATTTCACAATAATTTATCAAGGGTTTATACTACCAACATGATTTATCACTGTTGATGTTGACCTTGATGACCTGGCCTAGGTAGGGTTTGTCAGGTTTCTTCACTGTAAAGTTATGCTTTTTTCCCCCTTTCCATACTGTACTCTTGGAAGGAAGTGACACTGCATAGCCCAGACTTAAGAAGCAGGGAATTACATCCCCCGCCTTGAGGTCAGAATATCCACATAAATTGTTTGGAATTCTTCTGCAAGAGAGAGTTGCCTCTTCTCCTTCATTTATTTTAGTCTACCATTTATTTCTATCAGCATGGACTCATGGATATTTATTTTACGCTTTGGGTTATAAATCAATGCTGCCTTATCCATTGCTCAAATTTTTCCAGTTTTGGCCATTGGGAGTTCTTTCAGTTGGCTCCTGTATCTCTTTTACATACCCCATCAATGTAGGGTTTTCTGAATATTTCCTTACTTTCTGGCACTATGAGATGCTCCAGGCTTATCCTGAATATTTTCTGCCACAGTCCTAGAATCAATCACTTCTCCAAGGAGCCCTGGTTCCTTTTATTGGAGAATGGTATTAGAAACAAAGATCTGGGTGCTAGGGATACTTGCTGCCACTGGAGTTGTTAGGGGTTTTCTTTAATGGTAGTTTTTCAGATTATAAAAGAAATGCATGCTT